GCCTTCCTCAGCGGCCCACGCTGCGCCATGCTGCCCCTCCGAAGCGTCCTGGCCCGGGCTCTGACCTCGCGAACGCTCGCGCTTCAGGTATCGGCCTCCGGATGGGCGCGCCCTTTGCTAGGTGCAGGGCTGGGATGGGTGAGCCCTGCGCATGCGTGCCACGCGGTCAGCTCTGTCGGCTGAGGGTCCGCGCCCTTGGAGGAGGGATCCTTGCGGGGCAGGGTCATTTACCCACCGGAGCGAGGCTTTCTCTGGCTTGGGAGCCTGACCGCCCCGAGGTCGCTCCGAAGCGCTAGCGGTTGCGGCTTTGCCGCCAGCACCTTGGCAGCTGTGGCTCCGGGAGCACTCGCCACTTCGTGGCGGGGCCCAGGCGCCGTCGGCCTCGCGTAGGTGTGGGTTTGAAGAGCCTTCGCTCCGTCCACACTGAAGGTGCTGGGAGAGGACCACCAACAAGGGGTGCCTTCTCCATTGTAACGAAGTGCACAGCTTGCGAGCCTTGGTGTAGGCCAGGGTCTCAGTGTGGGGCATCGTGCCCGCCCTCCCCGTGCAGGGACCTGAGCCTGAAGACCCTCAAACGTGACCTGCTTCAGCCTTAGATGAGAAAGGTCCAAAATGGAGCCAGGGATCAAGCCTGAACTGTGGGCACCTGCTTGTTCAGATTCATCCCAAGGAGTCTTTCCTTTCCATCTTGAGGCTTTGAGTAAAAGCCAGCAAGATGCTGGGTGTGGGCTTAGCCGCTTCTGGAGACGGACTTTCAGGAGAAGAGTAAGGAAGAGCCATTAATGGCCTTTCACCCCGTGTTAACAATGCAGTCTATTCTGCTCTCTCTAGTGGGGCAGGGCCAAGAATTATTTCTTTGCGACTTTTCTTTTTTACATTTCTAGCAGCATTCTCGTATAAGTGAATTCTTAGTAATTGCTCACAAGAATTAATCCTAACTTGGTGATAAGGGAGGGTCAAATGGTGAAGATTTCTGCCCCAGCATATTTCTAACTAGCTTTGCAACAAAAACCTACAAAATCTCTTCACTTCATCACACATACACCGGTCTTTATCACTACGGTGTCCCTTCTGTGTATCGTCTCATTGAAAAATAATACAAATGCCCATTAGTCTACAGCTGATATATCTTACTTGTAATTTTTAGATTGTACATATTAGGTTATTGTTTATTCTACTAACATTATTATAATCTGGTTAAAAAGCACACAAAAAATATCTACCTGTGGCAGAGACTGCTGCGGTTGTTTTTGATGGAAAGCTTTGTCCTTTGGGCAATAGAAAAAATAACTTAAGAGTTATGACAGTCATGAGTGGAATAAACTCAATTGAAATGATTATATTAAGTCTATACTCAACATACATATTGTAAACAAACATATATAAGAATATATAAGGACAAAGCCTCCTGTTTCTCT